CAGCTATTAGCCAGCATTAGCAGGTGCACAGTGGCAAATAATAGGGATTAATGTGGACGCTGTGATCTCCATATTCTAACATCAGAGCATTTACTGATGTGTTCCGAGAAATTTTTCTATAACTACAGCGCTGCGACTAATACTTGATGCTTGTAAAAAGCCCATCAGTGAGACAAATTTCACTCATACAAAATACTAAACTGCATGTCAGAATCTGGGGAAGGATTTGGCCGAGTATCATCAAATGATGGACCTGAGGGGCTGAAAACTGCCGGCTTTCCACCCTCCCTTTACCTGCAGGTCAAGCATGAGGACAGTCAGGCCACTCAGTCAATCACAGATCTGATGCCCCACATCCGTCAAACCTACTCACGACTTTCCAAATTTAGCTTTTTTTTGTTGAGCACCACCTGTGCTACAGGGTGTTTATTTATGTTCCGTGAGAACCGAAATTTAGAGGCATTCAGCTGCTCGGTTGTTTGCCATGTTTCTCTGTTGAAATTTACAGCTTGAATCAAACCAGAGAAGCTCAAAGGTGGTTAAGCCAAAATCGACAAGCTGGTTACCAGCCCAGCACTCTATAGTCAGCCAGTCCCCAGTTTGGGCACTGGTTTACTCTAACGCTAGCCAGCTTTGGCCAGCCACACACCAGCTAAACCAGCACCAGACCAGCTGGCAGTGTCAGTAACACCGCTTAGCCCATCACAGAACACCAGCTGGTTTAAACTGGGTTTGATGGTAATTGATGGCCATGGCATAGGACCTGTGTTTCCCTCCGCTCAAGAACCGTGACGTCACGTTCGAGTCTCATAGAAAAGCCAGCAGCGACGAAACACATCTGGGTTCCTGTCCAGACGAGAGGTCAGGTCTGTGTGAGCACTGCAGGGGTCGCTTGAATTTCTGCCTCACGAAGGGCAACTATGTCCAGCAGCCAATCAGATGACATCTTTGTAAGACAGCTAAAAAAGCTGTCCCTGAATGAAAGCGAAGCTTATTTGATTTTACAGTTAACCAGGAGCAAACAGTTCTGCACCACAAAAACATTGAGCCAAATTTCATATTAAATGACTAACAGCCCCTTCCACTGCGGCCCAAGGAAACACACCAGGACTGGGAGAACCTCTGCTGAGCAGATTATACACAAATCAACCCAACCAATCGGCCATGAATCAAAATACCTATCCACTCCCCTTGATTTACATGCAACACTTCTCTACCTCTTTCAGGAAATCACTTTGAAAGTCAAATTCTCCCCTTCACCAGTCCAGGAAGTACCCTTTATATAACACAGTATTTATTTTTATACTCCTGATAGGAGGTACTGAAAACAGTCCTCGTGATGGACAGCTGACCGCTCTGTATGGACTGCAGAGAAGTGTTACAGTCATGTGGGTGACATCATCCTCGCAGGTGTTTCCATGCAGATTTTGATTGGCTGTGGGCTTAAGCAGGGGAGGACAGAATTCTCAAAAAAAAAAACAGTCAAGAGATGAGCAACTAAAGGTCCAGACAAGTACAATGTCAGCACTTTTCATTTTAAAAAATCAACTTTTGAGATGATAAAAACACTGGAGGTCCAAGCCTCTGCCCGCTTCATAAATTATTTCACTGGAAAGTGTTTGATCGCTACCTGCGGCAGGAGAACGGCCAGAGACAGGCTTAGAGAGTGAGGGAGAGGGAGAGAGTGAGAGAGAGAGAGAGGGAGAGAGAGGAAGAGGGAGAGAGAGAGAGGGAGGGAGAGAGAGAGAGAGAGAGAGGGTGAGAGAGAGAGAGAGAGAGGAGAGAGAGAGAAAGAGAGAGGCTCAGTGAGCACAGCCTGGCCGCTGAGAGACGCCGACATCGACAAACATGGCTCCCTAAGGAGGGGCGGCTGTGGACACACTGCAGCCTCAACGAGGTCGAGACAGAGCTGCATTTCACCACAAAATGTAAAAAATACATACTTATCAGGAATACTTATTTCCAAAAAATAAATCACATAGTCCCAAAATTTAAAAATCTGCCAGATTCCCAAAAACTCCCCATCCTCTCAGGGGAAGAGAAGACGTGCCACCAACTGGCAGCACAATATATAGCTGCTGCCACCATCTTAGGGACAGTGAGTGACCCATTTAAATATATTTCCATAATAACCCCCCCCCCCCCCTTTTTGTGCATCTGCTTTTAGAATCTCTAGGACCATTGCTACCATTTTTATGGACTTCTGTTTTAAATTTAATTGTCTAATCTTTATTTATATATATATATATATATATATATATATATAACTTTTTGTTTTATTGTTATCTATTTTGTTATTTAATTATTGTTAATTATCATTACACTTATAAATTTCATTCATGTACCTTCATTATTAAATATCATTATTAAATTCTTTTTTTTATCATTTTATCATCACTTTTCAACATATGCTTTTAATCCTAAAGTAGTTCCTGTTTCTTGTTATTTGTACCCCATTGTAACATTTAAGTCTCTGAAAGGTTTTGTTTAGTGTTAAAGGTTTGTGAATGTATTTCATAAGCTTTGGCAATACAGATGTATTTTTGTCATGCCAATAAAGCAATTTTGAATTTGAATTTGAATTTGAATTTGAGAGAGAGAGAGAGACAGAGAGAGAGAGAGAGAGAGAGAGAGAGAAAAATCTGGCTTAAAATATTTGACAGTGTCATCCAGCCGATTGCGCTATATGGTAGTGAAGTTTGGGGTCCGCTCAGTCATCATAGCTATACCCACTGGGACAAACATCCAACTGAATCTTTACACGCGAAATCTGTAGATACATTTTACACGTAGACAGAAAAACATCAACAAACGCATGTAGAGCAGAATTAGGCAGATACCCACTAATAATTAACATCCAAAAGAGAGCACTTCAATTCTTTTAACCACCTTAGATCCAGCCCCCCCCTGTGTCCTGCACTCCAGAGCCCTTCAAACCCAAGAGCTGAGACCAGCCCAGAAAACACCAATCAGAGTCCCTAATTATCTCAGACACACTGTGTCACACCAGCTGGTGCTGACACACTGACTCACACCAGCCCCCCAAACACCAATCACCAATCAGACACACTCTCAGACCAGCCTCACACCCAGCACTGCTGCCCAAACACCAATCAGAGTCAAACTAATTATCTCAGACACACTCTGACCAGCCTCACACCAGCACTGCTTCCCAAACACCAATCAGAGTCAAACTAATTATCTCAGACACACTCTGACCAGCCTCACACCACTCTGACTGCTTCCCAAACACCAATCAAAGTCAAACTTAATTATCTCAGACACACTCTGACCAGCCTCACACCAGCACTGCTGCCCAAACACCAATCAGAGTCAAACAAACTAAACACACTTGACCAGCCTTACTGCTGCCCAAACACCAATGTAAAGAAACCTATTTAGAACACTGGAAAGAAGAAACTAAGAACCAAAGCAGATCAGAATGTTATCTGACCTAAAAAGAGAATATGAACGGGCAGAATATCTCTCCACTGTCAGAGACAGACAGCAGAGACAGATCCTCACCATTACAGGCTCAGCCACCACCAATCGGCAATCGAAAAAGAACGACACAAAAAATCATGGCAACCAAAAGAGAACAGAATATGCGGCCACTGCTCGACAGGTGAGGTGGAGACAGAGATGCACTTCCTCCTGAAATGTGAAGAATTCAAAGAAATAAGAAACACCTATTTTAACAAATTTAGCTGCAAAATCCCAGATTTCAAAGAGAGGAATGAGCTCTCAAAACTAAAGATACTCCTGGCAGAAGGAGACGGGGCAGATCTTACTGCCCAGTGCGTATCAGCATGCCACCACACGAGGGACAGTGAGTGACACACACACACACACACACATGCATGCATTCACACACACACCCCACACACACACAAATACATGCATTGGATATACTGTAAATATGAAATTAATATACACATATAGAAATGCTTGTGAAAATATTAGATAATATGAATATTGTCATAATGAAATCCATTTTATTTATTTACTTATTTACTTATTATTATTTTTTATGTATATCATCACTCACTGTTTTGTTAGCTGTCTGTCCAAAAATGCTTTGGCAATATTGTATATAATACAGTCATGCCAATAAAGCTTATTCAATTAAAAATTGAATTGAATTGAGAGAGAGAGAGAGAGAGAGAGAGAGAGAGAGAGAGGAGGATGACGAGACAGAGGAGAGACCAGGTCATTGGGAAAGATGGAGGGAGAGAGAGGAGAGGTTCACAGAGAGAGGGAAGAGAGAGAGAGGGGCTCATTGGGAAGATGAAAATAAAGAGAGGCGGATAGACAGTGGAAACAGAAGAAAACTGCTTTAGAAGAGAGGGACAGAGGAGAATGGAGGGAGAGGAGAAAGACAGGATCAGAGGAGAGATAGAGGGAGCTAGCAAGGGAGTGAGAGAAGAGAAACAGATAGCGGGAGGAGAGGAGAGGAGAGCCGAAAGAGATGAAGCCAGATGCCAGGAGTGAGGGAATAAGAATGAGAGGAGGGAGAGAGGAAGGTTCAGAGAAACAGTGTAAAGACATGGTGGAGAAGGTCCTCACTGCTCTTTAAAATAAGGCCTTTTCCTGGAACACCTGAAAAAAGCTACTTGGGATCAATGACAACCCCCGCCCGAGCTATCCCAGAATACTCGGTAACATTACAAAGAGCCATTCCTCTCAAGGCATTTGGGTCTATAGGTCACTATGGAGCAAATGTCGAGAAATGAGAATTTCAAGCCATCAAAATAGCCATTTTCCTTTATGACAGTGATCAGCATGAGGATTTTAAACTCAGGCTTAACCAGGCTTAAACCTCAGATATTGTGTTATCTCGTGGGATGGAGATACTTGCTGTGTACTGTAAGATGACTACTGCCAGCGATTCAGGACTGGATTGATCCCCATAGTGAGTCTTTTTGTGTAGCACCTTGGTGAGGAGCTCAGCTGAAGAGCTTTGGTCTCAGAAGGAGAATCAGTCTGTGGATCTTTGGGTAGCACAATGGTGCAGAGGTTAGAGCTCTTGACTTGCATTAAGGAGACTCCAGGTTTGAACCCTGGTTGGCGAGGACCTCTCTATGTGGAGTTTGCATGGGTTTGCTCCTGGTACGCTATAGGTTTCCCCCAATTCTGAAAAACATCCTCTATAGGAACACTCCTACCAGTGTCCCTGACCAAGGCTCTGGCTTTAGAAAGACATGCTCTATAGGAACACTCCTACCAGTGTCCCTGACATGGCTCTGGCTTTAGAAAGAATGCTCTATAGGAACACTCCTACCCAGTGTCCCTGACCAAGGCTCTGGCTTTAGGCTCTGGCTTTACCAAGAAAGACATGCTCTATAGGAACACTCCTACCAGTGTCCCTGACCAAGGCTCTGGCTTTAGAAAGACATGCTCTATAGGAACACTCCTACCAGTGTCCCTGACCAAGGCTCTGGCTTTAGAAAGACATGCTCTATAGGAACACTCCTACCAGTGTCCCTGACCAAGGCTCTGGCTTTAGAAAGACATGCTCTATAGGAACACTCCTACCAGTGTCCCTGACTTTAAGGCTCTGGCTTTAGAAAGAACATGCTGTCTATAGGAACAACTCCTACCAGTGTCCCTGACCAAGGCTCTGGCTTTAGAAAGACATGCTCTATAGGAACACTCCTACCAGTGTCCCTGACCAAGGCTCTGGCTTTAGAAAGACATGTCCTATAGGAACACTCCTACCAGTGTCCCTGACCAAGGCTCTGGCTTTAGAAAGACATGCTCTATAGGAACACTCCTACCAGTGTCCCTGACCAAGGCTCTGGCTTTAAAGAAAGACATGCTCTATTTAGGAACACACTCCTACCAGTGTCTCCTGACCAAGGCTCTGGCTTTAGAAAGACATGCTCTATAGGAACACTCCTACCAGTGTCCCTGACCAAGGCTCTGGGCTTTAGAACTGAAGTTGGTCCACAGGTGCTGCTCTGTTGCTGCCCACTGCTCCTAAGTTACTAAAATGGGTGAAAATGCAGAGGACAGATTACTCCACAGGCTTCCATAAAGTGCATCTTATCTTTTCATCTGAAATCGCTCAGCTGGCTTGGGTGGCGATAGAGACAAACATCTCCACACGCTCTTAACGGTCATGTAAAAAAACAATGCAGTGAACCAGAGAGTGCATTCAAACTGCATTCCACCCACACCATTCCATCTGCAAACATCCATTTTTTATTCACCTTAAGAAATGTATTTAACTTATTTTTTCATTTTCAATCTGTGGATTTTGGAGCAGGTCTAAGGCTAATCAAAGGAAACAGTGCCTGGAGAAAACCCTTGAGAAGATGGGAAGAATCGTGCAAACTCCTCAGAGGGAAAATCCAACCTGGGACTCAAAACCAGAACCTCTTCCTTGTGAGGCAGCTGTGTAACTGTAGTGCCCTTGTGTTATGTAGCCCTTAGCACCAGGGAGAGACGATCCATCTCTTTTTACAGATTCCCTCCGAATGTCCTGGTCAGGATTCCCTTTACAGTCATTATAACACATCATAGGAGTCTAAGGCAGCAGTAAACAGTCCTGTTCCAGGGTATCTTACACTGGCTGGATGTTCCCTCCACCTCAACAAAAGCACACCTTGTTCAAAAGCCAGAGATCTGCATTTTGCTTTGCTAGAGTCAGGTGTGCGAAATTAAGATTTTGGAGTGAAAACCTTGCAGATGGTAGTTCTCCAGGGACAAGGTTGGCTAACATTAGTTACATTAAAGCTGACAGATTTATTTTTTGAAGGTACAGCTCATTAAAGAAAGCAGGTGCCAATCTCCTTGGAGCAATGCAGCTGCACTGATGTGTGCGGACTGATTCTGTGTGCGGACCGGATCATGTGTAACCCGAGTTCTTCTCCTCGCTGGTTCAGGCCCGGAGACTCACCAGGGCGGAGCGGCAGCGTTTCCGGGAGGAAGTGGACATGCTGAAGGGGCTTCAGCACCCAAACATCGTGCGCTTCTACGACTCATGGAAGTCCACAGTGAAAGGACACAAGTGCATCATCCTGGTCACCGAGCTCATGACCTCAGGCACCCTAAAAACGTGAGTAGGCCAGCTCGCCACCACTCCTATCTTGCCCCCAAAAGGCGTACACTTGGGCTACCCTTTACCAAGATGGAAATGGGGAATGACCATGTATGTAGCCCCGTTTTCATGACGTGACACCCTAATGCTTCTGGGTAATTTCCAATTCTCGACAGAGTTGATAGAGTTGATAGACAGATGAAACAGTAGACTTAGACTCAAGCTACCTTACAGATCTCTCTCTCACAAATTTAACAGATCCCTCATGTATGAAACAAATCTCTAACACAGGAAACAGATCTCTCTCACGAGAACAGGATCCCTCATACTTGAAACAGATCTCACACAAACAGATCAATCACAAATGTAACAAATAGCTCAAATGGGAAAAGTATCTCTGACTTGAGAAACCAATCTCTCATATGGGTAACAGATTGCCTGCGAAGGAAACAGATCCTTGATTCTCTTGAAACAGGTCCCTCATGCAAGAAACAGATCAGTCTCACAGTAACCAGATCCCTCAAGCAGGTCACTGATCCCTCGATGGGAAAACAGATCTCTCAGACAGGAAACAGGGTAAAAACCGTAAGATGAAATAAATTTGAAAGGCCGTGTTGTTCCCTCATCCCTGCAGGTATCTGAAGAGGTTTAAGGAGATGAAGCTCAAGTTGCTCCAGCGCTGGAGTCACCAGATCCTGAAAGGCCTGCACTTCCTGCACACGCGCACGCCGCCCATCATCCACCGCGACCTCAAGTGCGACAACATCTTCATCACCGGCCCCACTGGCTCCGTCAAGATCGGCGACCTGGGCCTCGCCACGCTCAAGAGCGCGTCCTTCGCCAAGAGCGTGATCGGTGAGGTGCCGCGCCACCTGCTAACACCGCCATAAAGACCAAAGTCAGACCTCTTTCCTTCTGCAGGGCCAGGCCGAGAAAGTGATTGAGATTGACCATCATTAGGGCAATTCTAGCTCATTAAATTTGACCTCAACAAGTTAGGAGTTTCCAAAAGATTTTGCTGTGAATAAATGCATCTAACTTTTACAGAAATGTATGAGCAACATTTAATTTTCCAAGACATGCTATGGTTAACTCAGAATTTAATAAAAACTTTGAGCATATCTTATATCTGGCCTTAATTAACTTGGGCAGAGCAGTCATGTTTGGTTTTTTAAAACCAGGTTTCAAAGGGTTAAAGGACTGCCGTGTCGCCCAGAACTCTCCAAAAATGGCCAGTTTTCATATATCAGTAGATTGCATGAATTAGCAGTCTCCAACCCTGCTCCTGGTGAGCTGCCATCCTGTAGAGGTTTACTCCAACCCTAATTCAACACACCTGATTCAGCTAATTAGCAGCTCATCAAAATCTCTGGCTGGGAAATGGACTGCAGCTTCCAGAAACAGGGTTGGAAACCACTGGCATTAATCTGCGAGTTCTGTGTAAATGTTGCCTTTGAAAATAACACATATATAAAATTCTGAAAAAGAAAACAATATTATCTGGCCATCGCCCCATCCCCAATTATTCTATATCATCTGTCCATCTCGATTCTGGACAGTAACTTCTGGAATGTTCTTCAAGGGGCGCCAGCCGCTAACTGACCCTGCCCCTGCTTTTCAGGGACGCCGGAGTTCATGGCACCGGAAATGTACGAAGAGAAGTATGACGAGGCGGTGGATGTGTACGCGTTCGGCATGTGCATCCTGGAGATGACCACGTACGAGTATCCGTATTCAGAGTGCCAAAACCCCGCCCAAATCTACCGCAAAGTCACCTGCGTGAGTTTCTGTTGCGTTCGTACCAAGTTACTTTGCCAACACGTTTATCCAAAGGGACAGACAATTAATTCGACCAATCAGGGGACAGAGGGCAGGGGCCAGCCCCCTCCAATGCAGGCATGTGGGGTTTAAGGGCTCGACTACAGGCCTCAATAGCCTCTTTACTGTGGAAGCACCATATTTACTGTTGGTTAAAAGACATGGGCAGGCTTCATGTCGGCATTTCGGTTACTCTCTGTCTTCATCCTCAACAGTTAATGTTAAGCTGCTCCACATGAAATCAGGAATGGAGAGCGGTTTTACAATACACTTTAAGATATATTTTGAGAGTGCAAGTGTGTGTGTGTATGAGTGTGCGTGTAAGTAAGTGCCCTGACACATTGTTGGTGATATGCGCCATCTCATCTCCGCTTAAATCGATGCTGATGATGTTACTGAGCTGCCGTGGTAATGTTTTTTGACACCGGACAGTGACATTTGCTGCCAGTCGTATATAGTTCACTTTGCATGGACGTTGATGGATTAATACCCTCTGTAAAGCACAGACTGTCAGCTTTATAAATCTATATCATGTGAGCTGTCAAGGAAACAACCTCTTAAAATTACAGTCCAAATGCTGACAGGCTTCAAGATACACAAGCGGTATCATGGCTGGAGCCATTTTAAAGCACATTAACAGGCCATCCCAACGCACATTCTAACAGTATGTTCAATTAACATGTCCCACTTGAATTTGTGCAAATTTTTCAGTCTTTTCTTTAAGTTCACTAATGATGAAACAGTAGTCATTTGTGGAAGTGATATTTTATAACTGCTGATTTGGTAATTTGTGGAAAAGGACCATATTTAATTGCGTTTTAATTTCATACAATCAGGGTCAACTCATTCTCATTTGCAGGAAACGCATCCTGTCAATCACACAGCGCTTTTCATAAAACCCAAATGCTAAAGCATTCGGAAATTTCAAAATGCAGTTGTTCCCGAAAAAGTATTTTTTGAATTCTTTTTACTTTATCATGGCACATTCAAGACACTCAGATTGCACAGAGTACAGAGGTTACTTTGAGCAAGGGAAGGTGCACCGTGTTTTGCATTACTGTGGATTTATTCACTTTCACTGAAAAGATTAGAGACGCCACAGATAAATATTTTAGGGCCGACTTCAGATGAGCCGTTTCCACCTGCACTGCAGACATGTCTTTCCCATGAACTGAGGAGAGTAAGCTGAAAACAGAAAAATAAAGACCTG